ATTGTTGTTTGGCGGGTCCAGGCTGGGGATTCGAACCCACCACCTTAGGTGTACGTGGCTGGCGCCTTAGCCGGTTGAGCTATAGGCGCCGAGCCTAAAATTATTTTTAAGGAAAATTTACTATTAGAACAAAAGAGAAGTGCATTGATATGCTCTCTGGTGTGAAGGATGTGCGGGATTGCTATCATGGCATATTATCTGACAATTGATACCTAGGGACTGTTATAATTGCCTCAATTGTTAGCACACATTAAGAATAGAAGACACACAGTTTCACTTCTGGAGATATGGACTAAATTATTATTTCTTCGATTTTACATCTTTACAGGATTATCAGGGGATGCCAGCAAGCGAAAAGCAGTTGTTGCAGACCGAGTGAGTATTTTTAATAAGGTCATTACTATGATACAGTACAGATTTGCTTCTGGTATTTGCTCATATCTTCAGGTATAAGTAGGTAAATGGCTGCAATCAAGGAGAGAGTTTGTAAAAAAACAAGTCAGCTTATATCTCCCTGGTGTCATCTTAAATACTTTTTAAATTCCTTCTTAACCCCTCTTCTTTTATCCCTTAATTTAAAGACCCATGGAGTGTTTCTTATGTGGGTTTTACTATTTGCCGTAATGTCCGATTATGTTAGTTGCAAAGATGACAAAGATGTAAAATAGTAGTAAAACAAAGATGACAAAGTAGTAAATGGCCAAAAAATAGTAGAAATCAGGAGGAAAACCCAGGGATCTAGATTATTTATGAACCAAATTATACCCCGTGAAAAGTTGACATTTGTTAGTTCTTATGAGATATACTATATGTGTAAATGTTTGTGTTGCCTGGAAGTAGCAGAAAGGGTTAATGTTTTAATATTATTACTAATTACCATAAATATGATCGATGCTAATATTTAATGTTATCCTTCTGTTCCTGGTAGTTGGTTGAATTCATTGATTATAAATGCATTGGTAAAAATTATATTCCAAATTAGTATACACTAATGGAAAACATGAGTAGAAATTGGCCACTCTTTAGCCTCCAAATGATTTGCTCCTCCATACTCTTTAGAGAAACTCAGCAGAGGATTACTGAAGAGCTCAACTTTAATTTTTTATTTCCTAAACAATATATTACTAAAGTCTAGAACATGAAGGTATTTCTTAAGAAAGATTAGCAAGTTAGTTCTAGCCCAGAGTGAAAGAAATTAGGCTAGGATTAAAGAAAAATTGGGAAACAAAGACACTAAATATTTTAATTATATTTTTATTATTACAAGCCTGATTCTGTGTTATTTTGGAGGCCACATATATTAAAAATGGAAGAATTTTAGAGATAACCTTTCATTCCTATGCAAGGCTATTTTCCTTACAGATGGTAGAAATCCTATTCCATTATGCAGATCGAGCTCTGAAAAAGTGCCCAGACCAAGGAAAAATCCAAGTGATGGAGCAGCATTTTCAGGTACACCTTTGCGTCTAATAGTGTTGTGAATAGCTGTAATACTGATCTTTTGTATTACTTGAGAATGTGACTTTCATGGTATAGGTGAACATTTTTTAGTATTTAAAACTTTATTTCAGGGCTTATGGAACATCTAAGTGATTAATTTTAAAGTAATGGGCATACAGTTAACTAGAAACAGATGCATAAAATGTTGTGGCATGTTAGCGCTTAGCTACTTAGCACTGTGTAGAAGGAAAGGATATATGTTAATATATGAAGATGCACACCTGTAAATTGACACCGTGTAGTGGCTGACACCTTGTTGATGACTAACATTATGGTAAGTAGGCTATTCAGAGAAGAGGTGTTCTGCCAGGGTTTAAATTTAGTTCTTCTAGGAGCACCTGTGATTCAAGAATAGCTCAGTTACAAAAAAAAAAAAATTATGATCTCTAAAATATGCTAATGAAAGACCTTTAGTTTATCCTGCAACTTAATGAAAGTGAAAGGAGTAATTTAAAGACCTGTGGAGTATTTCTTACGTGGTTTTTACTATTTGCGGTGATCTCCAATTATGTTAGTTGCAAATTTGTTTTTCTTTCCCCATCCCTATGCTCTCTTTTCCTTAACCTCTTTTTTTTATTGCTATATAATATTTTATGTATTTATAAGTAAATAAATATTTATAGGTACATATTTATAGGTAAATATTTTACATATTTGATATTGTATTACATGCATAGATTATGTAATGATCTATATAAATTTTAAGTGTGCTTTTTTTCTTCTTGAAAAATGATACTGGTATTAAGATAGGGATTGCATTGAATCTATAGATTGCTTTGGATAGTATTATCATTTTAATGATATTTCTTTTTTTTTTCCACATAAGGAAGCACTTATTTGAAGTTTAACATGAAGTCATACAAACAAAATGTATATAAACACAAATCCACATTGAGTCATAACACAGATAGCAAAGGACGAAGTAAAAACAAAGAAAACTAATTGGCAGCTACATACAGTTGGACACATTTGTGTCTTGTATACAGGAAAGTCTTTTACAGAATAATCATCTTAGATCAGTACAGTAGAAGACCAGTCTTCACTGTTGTCCTGCAAGATGGGTTACGTTAGCATTTCCTCCTGTTTCTCTAATGTCCTCCTTTAGTATGGCTGGTAATAGTTTTGGTGACCCCCTTGAGATGCCTTGCCATAAGTGCTCTGTTGGCCACTGTAGTCTGCATATCCCTGTCCATATCCATAGTTCCCATAGTTATACCCAGTATAATCATACCCACCATAGTTACTATAGTTTTGATCACCACCATAGGCAGTATTGTAATTTCCATATCCTTGATCATAATAGTTATTTAATCCTTGGTTCCAGTTTTGGCCTTGACCTTGGCCTCCACTCTTAGTACCACCTTGTCCATGGACACAGCACCTCTTCCTCCTTTCTGTTGTTGCTGTTGCTGCCTATATACTTCTTTGGGCTGTGCAACTTTGATTTCACACTTCCCAGAACCAATGTGATGGTATCTGCTTTCTAACAATTTCTTTACTTGCTCCTCATCTGTATATGTGATAAAACAAAATCCTCTCCTTTCATTTGTTTTT